GGATAAAAGATATGATCGATAATTGAGATTGACACATATCCATATCTCATAATTGATTGGATCATATTGACGAAAGGATTATAATTTCACGGTAAACGAACAAGTTTGGTTTGTCACATCACGTGACATTTTCCATCACATGTATTGCCTTGACACATTGTTAGATGTTAATCTGGGACGGCGAAAGTAAATTAATGATAAATTAAAAGGGGTGTTTTAATTTATCGATTTTAATTAGATCAAAATAAGAATTCACGTCGTTAGGTATCGTGATTGGGAACCTAATGGGTCACACACAAAAGAGAACCAGATGAATGAAATTTACTAATTAATTAATTGACAAGTGTTGGATAATTAATTAATTGAGTTGCTTATTAATCGGTCTGAATTAATTAATCGGATTAATTAATTCATGGACCGTATTTAATTAATTTGATTAATTAAATATCGGATTGGGTTAAATTTAGAGATGAGCCAGCCCACTTGGGCTTATATTAATAGGCTGGTAGGGTTTGTAAAATGTAGAGATTTTCATTATTCTTGCTAGCACAAGAAAAGTAAACCTAGCCGTCATTCTTGTTCTCTGTGTGGATCACTATTGGAGGCTAGACAATTAGACAGTTTGGATTGCACATCATGATCATTGGAGTTCGAGAATCAGCAAAAGAGTTTGCAGAATTCATCAGAGGTATTATTCTCAACACAGTTTCTATCTAAACACAAAGCAGATCCGTGGTGGGAATTGAAAAATTATTAATTTTCTGCTGTGCATGTTAAGTAAATTCCCAACAATTAAGACCAAATTACCCGAGGCATTTAGCTCCTTCCATGTATTGAATTTGGTAAATTTCAATTTTAAGTTTTAATTAGATATTTATTTTTAATCATTTTAGCAACTACACGGAAAGAAACTTGAGTACAACATTGTAGAAGCATAGCCTCTATCAAATACAGTCAAAAGGATGCTGATCCTGATTTATGCACTCCAGGCAACTATCGTGATACTTGATCTAAGTCTCAGTGTGCATTCACACACACAAACATCTATGTTGAAGACAATGTTTAAATAATTAAGTTTGTCTTCTCTCATTACCATCTTAAACTTTTAGATGATCTGGTTCAGCACATTATCAATAACAAGTAAAGGTCTTGGGTTTTGTCCCATACAGGACACCCAAGGAAGGTTGAACACCTGATGACGGCAATTAAAGGAGCTCAGGAAAGATTACATTTGTTTGAAGCCAACTTAACTGAAGAAGGATCTTTTGATTCTGCAATTGATGGTTGTGAAGGCGTCTTTCATACAGCAACTCCCGTTTTCCTTTCAGTAGCTGATCCCCAGGTTCATAATCTAACTTTCTTATTTGCATGGTTAAACTATCTGGCTTATTTTCAAAATGAAAATGTTGTAAAGGGTATGAAGGTTATATGTCCTTATCTTTCCCCTCAGGCCAGTGAGGTGAGTATTCGGCGTAAACTTTAGGGCCTCGTGAGATTAGTCGAGGTGAGTGCAAGCGACCCGAACATCCACGATTATAAAAAATAAAATAAAAATGATGTCCTTATCTTTGTTTTTAACTTGAAAATAATAATTTTGGACATTGAACACTTCACGTACCATTTAGAACCAATTTGGACGGGAATTTCAGGCCTTGCATCTGATAAAATACTTTGCTTAGTGCTGGATTATTCATAGAGACATTTTTATCTATCAAATTCAGCATAATTTTTGTCCATCTATGCTTTGACAGAGTTGATATTTGGCATAATTTATGCCTCTACATTCCCGAAAGAAACATGTTTTTTTCCTCCACATATTTAACTTAGACACCTGAAGTCAACCAAATAAAACACAGTGCTTATTTCCTGGAGCAACATTTTCGTTTTCCAAATAGATTTATTCACCATTGCTGTGGAAAAGAAGTAACCTTTTTTTACCTGCAGGGAATAGAAACAAAACTGAAAACTAATACGTGAATCATATAAAGTTTATATGAATGGTAATTTTCTGTTTTAACTTTTAATGTATATACCTTTTACATTTTTGCTCGATCTGGCTTCTGGTTATCTGAAAACCTTCTGTTCACACATCTTTCTACGCATTTCAGGCAGAACTAATAGAACCAGCTGTGAAGGGAACCCTTAATGTTCTGAGGTCGTGCAGAAAAGTACCGTTGATCTGACGAGTGGTGGTAACATCTTCTATAGCTACAGTAATATACTACAGAAATCCTCTAAAACCTGATGTTGTAGTTGATGAAACCTGGTTTTCCGATACAGTATTCTGTGAGGAAACAAAGGTGTGTACTTACTCTTTTCTTCTATTCTGTATCTATTGAAAATATTTTCTTGCATTTGATTTCAAAGCAAAATGTGAGGTATACTAGGATATTTTTTTATTTATTTCCTTCTCTTTTTCACAACATGCAACTACACTGGAATTTTTTAATTGCAATTCTATTTGACCATTACTGTAAGAGGAGGTAATCCCACATAAGCAGATAATCGTTCAAGGGTATCTGGTTATCCTTATAACTGGTGGAAAAGTTCCAATTAATCTGGACATAATAGTTATTTGTTCTTAGGTTCTTTTGGAACCGCACGTAAGATGTAAAAATCTTTTCCACCGTCATTTTTATGTGTCAACAATTACTTTCAAATTATCAATTTCTAGCACACAGTACAAGGACTCAGGCCTTGGTGCTAAATAAATTACTGGTGCTTTCAGCAATGGTATGCTATTTCGAAAACCTTGACAGAGGAAGCTGCGAGGAAATTCGCGGACGAAAATAACATTGACTTGGTAACATTACATCCTGGCTTTATTATTGGTCCTCTCTTGCAGCCAACTCTGAATTTAACTTCGGAGTCTGTTGTGAACCTCATTAAAGAAGGTATTCTTTATAGGCAATCAAGACGATGGCTGTGATCAATGTTTAAAAATGCATTTTCCTTCATAAGGCGAGGCGTAAGACTCACCGTAAATCAAAAATTATAAAAAAACTATTAGAATACAAAATAAGTTCGTAATAAATCATAAACAATCTTCAAAATTCATAATAGAACAATTTAAAGTGTAAACAAACAAAAGAAAAATCTATGAAGTCACAAAAACTATTACTTTAGGTGGTGATGTTGTGGACTCTATTCCCTAAGTGGGTCCATTAGAAACAATTTTTTTTTAACGTTTTAGTGGATAGTGGGCTATTCCTAGAATGGGCGGATCAGAATTTATTTATTTTTATTTTTATGTTTTGTTGGCTCACATCTAAAGCAAAGTAAATAAGTCTAGAGAATTAGGGAGTACAAGCCTCAAAAGCCTTGAGGCGGTTATGGCATGTGCCTCACACAACTAAGGCATATGCCTCTATAAACTACATCACAGTAAGTGCCTTGAGGCGCTTTTCCTCGCCTCACTCTAAGGCGGGCCGGATTTTCTTAAACCATGGCTGTGATAAATCATTCTTTGTGGATTTAGCTTTTGTCCCTTCTTTAGATGTACTATCTTGAATTCCAACCCCAGGAAATATGGTTTGGTGGGAAAACAAATCAAAAAAGAAAATCCCACATCTAGTATTAAGTTTGTGACTTTGTTCTTAGTTCAAAAAAATTTCATCATGATCAAGAAAAAACAAGTGAAGAATAAACACTGCCTCAAATGAATTTAAGTTTAATCACTTGCATTTCTATAATATCATGCTAAATTTTGCATCTTTATTTTCTTTGAAAGTCCTACGTTTACTAAAATTACGTTTCATGGAGTCAGTTCAACTCTGCTAGTTTTAGATCTTTTTTTTTTTTTTTCAGTTGCCCTCTCGAGAGCTATAACGTAGAAATGAGCCTTTGTCTAGTCTCATTAGTCAGGGAAGTATCTTATTCAAGACCAATACACCAACATATCGAGTCTTGTATTACCATCACTCAATTCAGCCATAAGTAAAACAAACAGATATATACTTGAAATGTTCTCTTCATGTAGTTGTGTGACAAGCAGCAACTCTCTAGACTTCTCTGCATAGTTTAAGCTGGCGGCATATTAGCAGAGTACCAAAAGACAATGCGACCTTAATATGGATTAAGTAAAATGTATATTGAAACGAAACAATCTATTGTCAGGTAAAAAGAGAGTTCATAATTATACATGAAATGAATAAATAAGAATTGCATTTTGAGGCATCTTCCATGGGCAATTATTGTATTATGATTGACCTTATAATGGTAATCTTTTCTTAAGCCACCTACAACAAAGTAAGCATCTGTCTGTTCAATCAAATCATCAGATTTTTTAACTACTAAATGCTCAAAAAATTTTACAGGCAGAGAAGATTGGCCAAATAGATATGTTGATGTTAGAGATGTTGCTCGTGGCCTCGTGCACATATTCTAGCATTTGAAAATCCTTCAGCCAGTGGCAGATACTGTCTCGTTGAATCAGTTACACATTCTTCAGAAGCTCCAAAGGTTTTAAATAGGCTTTACCCTTCCCTCGGACTCTCTGCAAAGTAAGTCTTTATATGCATTTATCAGTTCAAGTTTTCTTGCTTTTCTATGAATCAACATTATCAAAATATGCATAGGAAATTTCCTAATACATGGTTAAAGAAGCACGATTTATTCAAGTTAAAAATTTCAGATTTGGTTTTCACAGATTGAGGTAAGAGACTGAAATGGTATATATACTCACTGGTTATTACATAATATGTTGGGAATTTACTTATTCATGTACGGCGGAAAATAAATTATTTTTCAATTCCCACCACGGATCTACTTTGTGTTTAGATAGAAACTGTGTTTACATTGACATCTAGTAATGTATCAGGACAATACATGTGATGTGAAATGTCACGTGGTATGACAAAATCAAACTTGTTCGTTTACCATAGAACTATAATCTTTTCGTCAATATGATCCAATAAAGTATGAGATATGGATATGTGTCAATCTCAATTATCAATCATATCTTTTATCCCACTATTAAGTCAATGTAAGTCGAAAATCCACGTTGACCAATGATTTCATTATCAATTTAACTGGATAAAATGTAGATCATAATCTTTTACTATTTAAGAATGACGAATCCTCTATCGATCATTCACAACCTTCATATGATTCTTGACATACCCGAACGATGATGTATTAGCGACCATTGGCAGAGCAACATCCAACACCACCAAAGTATGACCGCCCTCATATAAGTCACTATGATGACCTCAAGTCAAATAACCAATTTCACTACCGAACGTTAGAGATTAATCACTAACACTCAGATAGTTATCCATGTGGAATCACCCAACGGGTCTCCAATGTTTTGTTCTATAACAAAACATCCACGTGTTCATTCAAGTGTTACCACACTTTAGTTTGTGAGATCAGCTACTTACTTCACAAGTAAGAATGCCACACGTGATGGTCTATCTGTAATAACGATATCTGTATCTCGTTATTACTTCGACCACAGACGATTTAAGATTCAGTCATATGTAATTCGTATCTCACAATCACAACTCATTGCGATTAACAAATTATCAAGACTTGAATCTACGGATTCTTCCGTAATAACGATATCCATATCTCGTTAGTACCTCGACCACGGACGATTTAAGATTCAGTCATATGTAATTTGTATTTCACAATCACAACTCCTTGTGATTAACAAATCACCAAGACTTGAATCTACGGATTCTATTATTTAATTTATTAGAATATTAATTCAATTAAATAATAGATATTGCCATAAATATGCATCGATTATATATATTAAAAGTGTTTATGTCTAAAATTGATTGAACCTAGGACATAATTTTTATATAGTATACTACTCCCTCCGTCCCAATTATATAGGCTTGTTTCATTTTTCAAATGGATTAAGAAAACTTCTTTAATGTCATTGAAAAATTAATTTTTGCCAAGATTTTTCCTAGTTTACCCCTATTTAATTTTCGGTATGTAAAAACTAAATTATTGTTGGAACTAATAAAGAATTTGAAAAAAGAAAAAGAAATAAGAGTTGTTTCATGTTTCCAAGAAGTGAGAAATGTGTGTATTTGAATGATTTCAATAAGTTGGCATATTAAAAGCATGTCAGCCCTAGCTTTAAAGCTGAATTTTAATCTATAAATTGACCGTTGAGCCGCAATTTTGGACTATTTATCTCACATGTAGGGCCCATGTACAGGAAAATAACGGGTGGAATTTGGCTTATAATTTTCTCCAGACAAGCATTAAGTGGAGGAAATTTAATAAGTGTATATTGGTAAAGGAACACAACAATATATTCTACATTAGGAAACAAGCCTATAAATTTGGGACAAAAAAAAAAAAGGAAACNCTATATATTTGGGACAAGAGAAAAAGGAAACTCAGCCTATATAATTGAGACGGAAGGAGTGCTTATTTAGATGATGTCAGCAAATTTATGCGTTAGATGATCCATGTTTCTGTCTTGAGAGATTCTTTCATTTCTAGAACTTACTCTGACTTGATTAAGATGAAAAGGGTGGGAAAATAGGTATTTTGGGCTCAAACTTAGATGAAATAGCATAAGCCAGGGACTTCAGAGAGAGAGAGAGAGAGAGTAGAGTTCTTAGCTAACTAAACGGAGCATTTTGAAAGAAGTTATATTTTCTCGGCATGTATGGCATCCTATACTGGACACAACACTACCGAACCTAACTAAAAGAAGAGATGCATGCAAAATACATGTTCGTTGTTTAAAAATTGTTGCATCTTTTTAACAGTCCATGTTATTGCAGTACTACAGATAATCAGGCTGCCACCCGTCGCTACCAAATATCCAAAGAGAGGGCAAAGAGTTTGAGCCTCAATTCACTCCTCTTGAGGTCAGCCTTAAGGACACTGTTGAAAATCTCAAGGAGAACAACTTTCTCAGATTCTAAAATTGCAACAGTGCGCTTTTTTAGATTTTCAGTGTTCCTGAACTTTATTGATGGTTTTCAAATTCATGTTATATCCTCTCTTATTCTCTTTATTTTGTCAATTCTAGAATTCAAGATTATGGTCGAAATTGGTTTCTTACAAGTGGAGTTCATCATAAATCTACTCAAAAAAGAATTTCTAGTTCTAATTCTGTCACTCCATATCTATACTTGTATTTTGGTCTCAAGGCACAACTATTTCGAACAAGGAAAAAGCTAAACGTACTCCATACCTTACTACATAGTTTACTACATGCTGACGTGGCAGGATTTGAAAATTCAACTTTGCAAAAAAAAAATTAGAAGAAAAGAAAAACAAAGTAAAACGCGCCATTTTCTTACCAACTCCCTCATTCCCACTCGTTGGCTCTCCCCAAAGTGAAAAATCTCAGCTCCCAACGAAGATGGAGCAACAAGAAAACTCAATCGACGTCGCCGTCGACTTGGGAGATGGCGACCCAACGTCGGCGGTCGCCGTCGAACCCA